GTTGAGGTTGTGGCTACAGTAGATGTGAGAGGTGAGTAAATTAGCTCGTCGCGGGGAACTTGTTACAGGGTTGGATGATCGAAGTCTTGCGCGCCGGCACGGTTTCGGGCGTGGGAATGGCCTCCCCGGTGGTGTTCTTGTTGGCAAAGACCTGCTTGACGCCGCCACCCTTCTGTTTGGCCATCTGGTAGTCTCCCGAGTCGAAGAACTTTTGCTGCGTGGAAAAAATTAGTTGAATATTAGAGTGCGGCTTACGACATGTATACGACATTTTGTAAATGACAAAGCTATCACTATATATATTACTTATTTATTGATTTTTACAATGTAAGCCTAGGTAATGTATGGAAACTGTCTACAAAATGAAAAAGTGTACCGAAAGAACGACTAAGTTGGTTCTGGGAATCGTTAAGTTTCATTGATTTTAATAAGGAATCTATTGTTACCAAGTTCCAAATGAATTTGAATCGATTTTTGGTTGGTTTACCGAGGGATGAGATGATATTCTATGACACCATCAATGGAAATGTTTTTATTGTTTGCTTTGTCATTCGTTTGGCTGGCCGACGAAAAAGTTTCTTCAAGATTGATTCTTAAAATTAGTACACTACATTCTAACCACTAAAATATTATTTTATTTTTTTTCTGTTATGTTTAAACTGATTGTAAAGGGGTTTATTATAACACCGAAAGATATGGTACTCATTATTATGGGTTTTATGACGCTTTCGGGGTCCTAAACACTCACCCCCTTCTGCAGCCTTTTCTGGAGAAAGGCCGAGTGCCCGCCGGGCACGCGCATCCCGCTGGGATACTTGGACTTGAGCTTCTCCTCCTCGATCTTCTCGAGATCCGTGAGGTTGGCCTGCTCGGCGGCCTCGTTGTCCTGGGGCGTGGTGGCCGGGCTGTTGCTGTTTTCCTCCGCTGAGCTCATCGTGGACTGCCTTGTGGGACAAAAGCAAGTCGGAGATTGGATTGAGATTGGCGAAGGTGCGAAAATGGCGACATGGAAAATGAGAAGTAGGCGGGGGGAAAATGGGGAGGAATCACAGGGGCAACGAAATTCGGAGGCGCGCAAAATGCCAAGATAAAATTGCATTTCATCACACACACACGCGAAGCTCGCACACACACAGGCAAGCAAATCCAGGGCAGGCGCACGCACACTTGTTAAATATATGGACGCGAAATATTATAGTAATAATCGGATGTGCAAATATTGTTTTAATTTTTTATATGCACTCATACGCAGGCGATAAGGCCAGAGTGTGTGTGGCGATGCGGATGCTTGCGAGTGTGTGTGTGCAAGGCGTAGTTGCTCACCTTTTCCTGTAAAATTTGACGATTAACTGTTGTTTTCCTCCTCCTTTTGTTCTTCACCCTTCTGCTTATGCGCCTCCTTCCCTGGAATCGAATCGGTTTTGCCAATTAGCGGACCTCTCTGCTATTCGCAATGCAACCAATTGGGGAAAATGCTCGCTGTTCGACTAAATCAGGCTGTTACGCTACACGAATTTTATATATTGAGTGAGGTTGAAAGTCTCAAGGCAAGGCGATTCAAAAGTAAAATTATATTAACACATTACAGACGCTGCTGGGAGATGATAGAGATGAGTAACCTTTCCCGATATATCGATAGGCTTTGCGTAACACTGTCGGGGTGCCAGTCTCGATGGCAATCGATAGCGATTACACGAAGTGACCGTTAAACTTGAAATTCGTAAGATAAATACAAATTCCAATCGTCTTTGCTCAAAAGAGATTTCTGTAAAACCAGCTATAGGACCTTAATAAATGTGAAGCGGTGACTGTGTATGTATATTTGTACAGGGGAACCACAATATTCGCTTAGTGTTAAAATGGAGTAAAGTTTGTATTGATGTACGTAAGAATTATGACCCAATTTAGCTTTCGGCTATTTCATTGGTACCCCCAGTAATAATAACACAATTCATGAATAAAATTAAAAATCTTGTAGCATAGAATTAAAAGAAACCGTTGGTAGCTCGATACTATCGCTATCTTGGAAAACCCGTAGATAGTGCCATCACTGGCTTGAAAGCACTACCAAGGAAAAAGGGCGATATTCCGGCTGATAAGGAATTTGGAGTAGCCGAGCAGCGAAAAGTCACAGATAAATTTGCTTGGAGTCGTCGATTGGAAAACGGCAACCTAAGGAGGAGCAACCACACAATAAACGCCCACAATGACCGCCCTGCGATACATGGGATGGGTTACCGGCTGTTCGGTCCTCACAGCCTTCGTTTCCATTATATGGCAGGCGTTTCTCTCGCTGCAGACGCTTAATAGGACCACTGTCCTATTAAGTGGTCTCCTGGCCATCGAGGGGTGAGGACTATGGAATATTATCTATAAAAATAACTTATATATCTATGAATTGTAGATCCCTTAAGCGTCCCGCCTTGGAGCCGGCGCCGAAAGTGGCCATCGGATACGGAGCCTGCACGGACCTCCAGATAAATGCCACCGAGTTTCTAGAGCGCTACTACAGCCGTCGCATTCCGGCAGCCACTACAGGATCTCGGGAGATCGTCAACAACGAGGACGAGCTGCTGCAATCCTTTGCCTATTACTTTCAGAACGGAGCTGCAGCGGAGTAAGTACCTCTAATCTTTAGTTTTTAGACATAAGCGGGTAGATTTATTCCACATCACCATTTAAACTTCATTTCATTTTTAATTTGATCCTTATCAAGGGAAATTTAAACTCTCCTTTAAACTCTTTTTAGTGAAAAAATATATAAGAAATAATGAAAAATACCTGTAATACAACAATCTTTCTTTAACATTCTTCCAGACGGGTGATGGCAAACAGTACTCTCTTCAAACAGCTTGTGGGCTACGCCAAGGTAATGGATAAGGAGCGGATCCAGTGGTATATGGGTGGAAATGCTCCGCTGATGGCTGTGCGCTTCTTCATGGAGGGAGCTGAAGTTCTACTGGGCGCACACATGTCCAAGAAGTATTAACCAATCTCTAAAGTCTCTGTTCCTCCGAACTCATTCTTAAATTTTATCCAGATTACGTCCCCTGCTGCCAAAGGAGATTCGTCTGGCTGGCGACGAGATCCCAAACGATGATATACATCTTATTCTGGAGTACAAAGCCGGGGATACCTGGGGATCATACGTGGCGCCTCGGGCCAATCGGTACATTCTACACAACGACCGGAATAATCCGCACCTGAGGGCCGTGGAGCAGCTAACGGATGCCCTGAAGATCTATCATCCACAGCTGCTGGTGGTCAGCGGACTGCAAATGATGGACATGTTCACCTTTAATCCTGGCGAGCGCGAGGCGCGCCTGCAGCAAGTACAAAGACAACTAACCAGCCAGCCCGCAGATACTCTGAATCACTTTGAGATGGCTTCCTACGTGGAGTTGCAGCTACTGCAGCAGCTACGTCGTTATGTCCTTCCCTACGTAGACTCTCTGGGGATGAACGAACAGGAGCTGTCCAACCTGCAGCAGGTGCTTGCATACGGACGGACTACCTTGGCCACCGACTGGAATCCTCGCATTGCCCACACCCTTGACCAGATGCGGCAGGTGTTCATCAGCCTGCTTGAGGATTACGGCGATCGGAGCGTTACCGATCCCAGGCGACGTCGAATCTCGCGGATCCACGTGCATACTTTGGCCTACCAGGCTATTCTCACCACTGCGGACTCCAAGTGGAAGAACACCCGAGCTGCGGCGGCCAAGGCGGCTCTCACTGCTCACCGATACGTCTGCAAGTCTCAGTTTGTGAGTCTTATATTCCTGATTTTAATTCGTTCTGTATTCTAATTACTTTCTTATCGTTTGCAGATAAATCCGGAGGCAGTGCTGCAGGTCCTGGACGATAGTTTCGCCACCTCGGCACAGACGAATGCTCCTCGGATGCGCATCGGTGCAGCCAGTCCAGTGCCCTGTTGGCGGGAGTATATCGAGTACGGTCGCCAGCGGCAACGCCTTGAGGTGGAGATTTGTGTGGCCCCGGTGCTGGTGTGCCGCGAGGCCAGGAAAACTGCTGGGGCTGGCGACAACATATCCGCCTCCGGATTGGCGGCACAGTTGTAGGAGCGACGATGACGATTGAACCGGCAAGACTGCATAGTACTTTACTAGAAACCTGCAATCCAAGACTCGAATAGAAGGCCAGGACGTTACCCCGAAGCATTCCCCCGCTGGATGGACATGGACTCGGCATGTTTAGCACCTTAGTGACCTTAGAAACGCGTTACCTTCACACAAATCTGACGAAAATGCTCAAGCGATAGCACCAAGCAAACAACGACTCCCATGAGACCACATATCCAGATGAGTTTTTAGGCATAGTGCAGATTTCTGCTTCTGTCCTCTCATCATCAACGTAAATTCCATGTGTTCAAAATTATTCCTAATGCAACAGCATCGATGTTCGGAAACGAAATCCACCTAGTCCTAAGTTTTGTTAGTCACTAATTGTATGTTTTGACATATTTGAGCCATTCCTAATTACAATTTGTTTTGCGCACTTGGTTTCAAACTTAAATAATGCGGCAACGAACTAAACAGGCGTTTACTTACTGTAAGATAATTGTGAACCTGTATACCCAATCTTTAATTTGTACTCATATTTTAACCTTTCTCATTCGGATCAAAACTGATGTGATAATTAGAATTTAAAATTTGTGTTGTCCTCATAAATGTGTTGAAATACTTTAATTTTACATGTACGATTGTAAACTTTTAATATCTATTCTAATTTATATTTTTTAACCAAACCTTACAATTTGTTTTACGCAAGTCCTAAAATGTGCAGTGCGTTTCCAGACTGTACTCTTATAATTTGATACCCTTTCAAACTTAACACACAGACTGCCTTTTCCACAACTGTCTTACATCTGCGAAACGCACTGTTTAAACACAGATTTACACATATATTTTTCTACACTTAAGCAAACGCATATAAAACTGGCAGATGTAGAATAAATTCCTGTTAAAAGCTTCAAATTGAAATTGTACAAGCGATGCTCAAGCTGGGAGTCGCGGTCCCCACTCGTTGGTCCCTTAGATGGCGTCACCTGGTAATGGCTGGGATCAGAGGCGAGGCAAAACTCTCTGTGGGCATGGAGAAGATCAACAGACAGCAGGAGCAGGAAGAGAAGCAGCCGGAAGTAGACGCCACTGAAGACTCTCCAAGGAGGCAGAGAAATGAGAGTGTGCTGATAAATCATGCCATTCACGAGATAAAACACAGGCCACTGGAGGTACCCACCATAATCGGCGACGATCCCGTTTATACCATGGATAAGCAGCAGGTCCCTTGCCCGCATCACCTCAAGACGAATCTGGCCCATGTGTTCTATGCCAACCGCAAGCAAATCGAGACGGCAATAAGGTCGGCTCTTTCGACACAGGGAACTTGGAGTTTGGTACCCATTGCAGAGCGCCTGGCCATTTGGCGCCGGGCGGCGGATATTATCCAGGAGGATGAGTTGCGGTTACGAGTGTTCCTGATGCTGACCCTCAGCAAAACGTCCGATGATGCAACGCGGGACATAAGGAGACTGCTAAGCTCGCTTAGGGCAAATGCTGATTACCTAGAGCACCTGTCCGAACTGCGCTTCGAGATCCAGGGCGATATGAACGTCTTCCCCAGCTTCCATCTGCGACCCATGGATGGCTTTGTGGCTGCACTGGCGCCATTTGAATCTGTCGCCCTGTCCACCAGTTTGGCCCTCTGTCCGGCTCTCATGGGCAATACGGTGCTGTGGAATCCCTCATTGGAGGTGGCACCAGCCAGTTTTCTCATCCATCGGGCCTTCCAGGAGGCGGGCCTGCCCAGCGGAGTGGTCAACTTTGTGCCGGCCAACGAGCGTCTGTTTCTGGACACAATCACGGATGCCGTCCACTTTGCCGGTCTGAATACCCAGGGCAGTGCGGCTGGTTACAGGCATGTGCACAAGCTGGTGAGCGATCGGATGGAGCGATACATCTGTTTTCCTCGGCTCGTGGCCGAGTGTCCGGGTCAGAACTTCCATTTTGTCCATGCCAGCGCCAAGGTGGAGTCGGTGGTAACGGCTACCATCCAGGCGGCATTTGGATTTGCCGGTCAGTACGCCAACTCTCTGTCCAGGATGTATGTGCCCTCATCCATGTGGCCGAGACTCCGTGAAGAGTTGCTGGAGGCCACAAAGCAGTTGACCGTTGGAGATCCCGTCGAGCCGGAAACGGATATGGGGGCATTGGTAAATATAGAGGGATTTCACCGGATGCAGAGACTCGTGGAGCGCACTAAGAGCATGGAGGTGTTATGCGGAGGCAGCTGCGACGGCAACATTGGTAGGTTTGTCCAGCCAACGATTGTCCGGGTGGTGGATCCCTTAGATCCCCTGCTCTGTGAGCCCTGCAGCGGACCCTTTTTGCCCGTGTTCGTCTACGCAGACGACTCCTTTGGGGAAGCCCTGAAGCTGGCTGCCAACCAGTCTAGATACGCACTCTCCGGCTCCATCTTCGCCAGCCGAGACGAGGTGATCCTGCACTGCCTCAACCAGCTTCGCATGTCCGCCAGCAATCTCTACGTGAACGAGCGTTGCACCGGAAGCCAATACGGATTGACTCCGTTTGGTGGCAACAGGCTGTCCGGGACAAACGATAAGTCCGGATCGGCCTACTTCCTAATGCGCTGGAGCTCTCCGCTGCTAATCGAGGAGACTGTGGTGGGGCCAGTCCCGTCGCAGGGATCCAAGAAGTTTCCTTAAACCTGCTGATGGGACGGGGATACTTAAAGAAGTGCAATAAATGTATGTTTCTTAGGGCATTCAATTTGGCTACTACAACAAGTTAGTTGGTGAATAAATAAATGATAAATGTAAAAAAAATATTTTTTGGCCAGTTTTCTTTTTACTCTTTTCAGAAATTTTCAACTCTTTAAGAAACAATTTAAATTGTAACGGATTTAATACTTTTTGAATTTTTTTCATAAACTTTCAGGCATTGCTTAAAACTAGCCAATGCACGTCGGGTAAAAAGGTGGAGGGTTTATTTGGTTTTTTTGTTATATTTCAAAAAATTTTAATTGTAAACTAGAATTAGGATTTAAAGGATCTAAGGAGTAAGATTTAAAAATGTCATTTAAAAGAAGTCCGTTTATAAACGACATTTCTTTTTGCTTTAAAACTCCTTAAAAAATATATAGAGCCCGGGGAAACTATAAGCTTAATTTTTGAAACTTTAAAATCGAATAACATCTAAGTAAAATGTAACGGACGTTTTAGAGTGTGCCCGTATCCAAGAACCAGTTGGTATTCTATCGATTAAAGCTTTAGTACTACGAGTTGACTTGGTATTATCGCATTTTCTTGCATTGGTCATACTGCGGACAATTAGTAAAAAAACGTGCGGTGTCGAATTGAAATTGCTAGGACTTACCGTGAACCCGAAGGTGATTTTCCATTATCAACCAAAACGTGCGTAGCTAATCTGCTCGAGCACCAATAACTTAAATTAGACAAAAGCCAAACAAACGTTAGCCAGCGCTTTTCCGCACCTTTTTTCCCTCCTCGGTGTTTGCGCGTGCGAGCGAGAAAGGCGAACGACGAATTCCGAACGCTAGAAATTTCCATTCGCAGGCGAAAAGCGAATCCATAATTGATGTGAATGTGAAAAGCATATATCGAATCGAATGTTCTGGACTTGTTTGTCAAACTAAACGAGCAGATAGCAAGCCGACACGTGCGTCGTCGTGTGTTTAATAAACATTTTATCTAATTCTCCGTCACTCACATTGAAAACTTGTATATTTTGCAGTAGCTGGAACACAAAGAGAACGAGAACTCTGCGATCGCGTTGTTCCGCCCCAAAAAAAGAAAAGTAAAACACAAGAAGAAACGGCAAACACCAAAAAGTGTGTCGGCAACTGAATCAATTGAATTGGAATAGCGGCCAGACGACAAGGAGGAGTTTAGAAAATGTCCGTGATTGGCATCGATTTTGGCAACGAGGGCTGCTATGTGGCGGCGGCCAGGTCCGGCGGCATCGAGACGCTGGCCAATGACTACAGTCTGCGGGCCACGCCGTAAGTACCACCCCCCCATTCAATTGTCCCGGATTATGGCCCAGTTCATATAGTGATAAGCTTTAGAGGGTCTGGTCTACATAATCGTTCCACTTTTTGCCCGTTTTTTTTTGGGGTTATGTCGAATTTGTAAGTCATGGCCCGCATATGTGTGCGTGCGATTGTGTGTTTGTAAGAGAGCGCGCCTAGAAAATTCCATGGTTGTTATGGGAAACGCTCCGTAAAACATACGTACGTGTATCCCCAGTTATGTGCATTATGTTCTAATTGTTTGCGTGCTTTGGCGGAGGCCTAAATTTGGCCAACGACTGCACTTCCATAAAAAGTGTTGCAAATTGCAATTTTAATGAGGCAGCAGAGGCACCTCGCATATCTTTTCCCTTCCACTGACTCTGCCTCTCTTTTCCAATTTATCGCCGCTGCCTATGTATGGGGGTGCCTTTGATTCAGATACCATCGACTGCGTGGGCCCCTACATATTTCCAATCCAATTCCCCACACTCCCACTCCACCGCTCTCCTCCTGTATTTGTCCGAATTTACTTTTTTGGCACATCACACACACACACAGAGAAAGACCTGGCGATGCATGCGTCATGCGGTCAAGAAGGCAGCATCAAAGGTGAGAGCAGCTGTTGTGGTTGCGAAGAGAGAGAGGTTGAGAGGGAGAAAGAGCGCCAACGAAGATACGGCAAAAAGAAGGAAAAACGTGTGCAAAGCTGTCAAAAATAAATTCAAAGCCGGCAAACACAGACGGAACACAAACACACTCGCGTATGCAGACACAGTGGAGCCCCCCTATGTTGAACCCTTTAAATGGGTCCTAGAGGGGCAATTATTTTTTTTTAATGTTAGGTTCGATTTCTTTGAAAATAAAAGTATGTTAAGCCAAAAAACGTATGGAACTAAAAGTAGGGTTTAAACTTTAAGCGGACGAAAATATTTGCCTACTTAATATAGTAGACGTTTTAGCCCACATTCCACTGTACTGACTTAAACTTGATTGTTCGCCAGACATACACTCCTAATACTGACAATTCCGAGATTTTAGCCTTATATGACCTTCATTACTAAGCCACTGACTGGTGTTCTATTTTAATCCCTGCCCTGCCTTTTGCAGTTCCTTTGTGGCCTTCGATGGCAAGAAGCGGATCATCGGCGTGGCGGCCAAGAACCAGCAGGTGACAAACATGAAAAACACAGTTGGCGGATTCAAGCGCCTGCTCGGTCGCAAATTCAACGATCCCCATGTACAACACGAACTCAAGAGCATTCCAGCGCGCGTGGAGGCGCGCGGTGACGGCAGTATCGGCATCAAGGTAAACTACCTTGGTGAGGATCAGCATTTCGGTCCCGAGCAGCTGACGGCTATGCTGTTCACCAAGCTGAAGGAGACCTCGGCGGCGGCCATGCAGACGCAGGTGAACGACTGCGTCATCGCCTGTCCCGTTTTCTTTACCAACGCTGAGCGCCGGGCTCTTCTGGATGCCGCCCAGATCGCCGGACTCAATGTCCTGCGACTAATGAATGAGACGACAGCCACTGCGCTGGCCTACGGCTTCTACAAGAACGACCTGTTCGAGGACAAGCCGCGCAACGTGATCTTCGTGGACTTTGGGCACTCGTCACTGCAGGCCAGTGCCTGTGCCTTTACCAAGGGCAAGCTGAAGATGCTGGCCAGCACCTGGGATCAGATCGGTGGACGCGACATTGACTTGGCTCTAGGCGATTACTTCGCCAAGGAGTTCCAGGAGCGCTACAAGATCAACGCCAAGACCAATGCCCGTGCCAATCTGCGCCTGCTCACTGAAATCGAGAAGCTGAAGAAGCAGATGTCGGCCAACAGCACAAAGCTGCCACTGAACATCGAATGCTTCCTGGATGACATCGATGTCTCGTCGTCTATGCAGCGCTCACAGATGGAGGAGTTGTGCGCCCCGGTATTGCAGCGCGTCGAGCAGACTTTCAAGCGCTTGCTGGCCGAGTCAAAGCTGCAGCTGGACGACATTCACTCGGTGGAGATCGTTGGCGGTAGCTCTCGCATTCCATCCGTGAAGCAGCTTATTGAGCAGGTGCGTGCCCACACCATGGCCTTAATTAAGATCCTTAATAATTGTATCTCTCTTTTACGTAGGTCTTTAACAAGCCAGCCAGCACCACTTTGAACCAGGATGAGGCTGTGTCCCGCGGTGCAGCCCTTCAGTGCGCCATCATGTCGCCGGCTGTGCGCGTCCGGGAATTCGGTGTCACTGACCTTCAGAACTACGCCGTTAAGGTGCTGTGGGACAGTGAGGGCTCCGCCGCTCCGGGAGAGATCGAGATCTTCCCGCAGTACCATGCGTCGCCGTTCAGTCGCCTGTTGACAATCAACCGCAAGGGACCGTTCAACGTTTCGATTGTTTATGGCCAGCAGGTGCCATATCCGGATCAAACTATTGGCGTGTGGAAGGTCAAGGATGTGAAGCCGACGGAGCGCGGCGAGGGCCAGGATGTTAAACTGAAGGTGCGCATCAACAACAATGGCATCGTGCTGATCTCCTCGGCCACTTTGGTGGAGAAGAAGGAAGCGGAGGAGGCTGCCGCAGCTGCCGAGCAGGCTGCCAGTGAGGAGAAGGCAGGAGAGCAGGCAAACAACGCTGGCGAACCTACAGATGGTCAGCAGGAGGTGAGTCAGCCATCTCCCATCCAATTAACCCAATCACTGTCATCATTTTCTGTTACGCATAGGGGTTGCTCTGCTGTTCTCGTTTCTGTTCTAGTTGTATTCTACTAACCGCCTTTCTGGCTTAAACCAATAGGGTGTAGTTCCTCTAGCTGATTTTGTTTGTTGTAACACTGTTTCATAACGTCTGTCCGTCTGTATGTATTTTTCACAATTTAGCATCAGATCTTAATATAAAAACTTTTTTAATCTAATCAGTATTTATTTCGGATAATTTTTTTACCAAAATTTTTTACATTATTTTCTTTACTGTAGAGTGATGCAAACTTTCATACTTTATCATCCATTTGAAATAATTTTTGATTGGCTAACAGAATATCGATGATTTGTTTTCTCATTTTCATAAGCTACTCAAGCCATAATACATGGTACTCTTCAGCTTGCAAGATCAATACAATGTAAATGAGAAAAAATGGCTTTAATCATACTCCCTCATTTCTTGACTAATTTTTTTAAAGCTTCGGTTTTCAATGTCTGGTTAGTAAATCTCATCCACCATCTTTTTTCCCTTTTTATTTTAAATGTCAGTAAGAGATTTATTTCACTGCATTAGTACAATAAATTGCTCATTAAGATTTTTCGATCGTTACCATAATCGGACATGTGGAAACCGGGGCTGTATCGCTCTTGTTTGCGTATATATAGACACATGAATGTGTATTTGATATAAATCATTCTTATATATAAATATATACCACTCCAATATTTGTTTTTGTTTGTTTTGGATATGTTTGCGAACGCGCGCGTTTTGATCTCTCGTAGGCATATTGTGAGAATGAGGATGATAATAATACATCAACAGCCTCATCACCTGGCGGACCAGGGTGGGCACAGCGGGTCAAGGGCTGGTTTAGTTCGGTACGTTTTCCTCAAATTTCTCAAATTTCAATTCAAAAACAAAACCAACAAAAAAAGAAAAAAAGACCAAGTCAAAATTTTTTGCTCCCACATTTGTGTGTCAAGAAATTGGAATATTATTAATAACAAAATTAAAAGCACGAAATAAGAAATTTTGTGGTTTTTGAAATTTTTATGTTTTATCCTTTCCATCAAAAATGAAACGAGTGAAGAAGACCGCTCATAAGCCGCCTACCCTATGTGCTCCCAACAAAAAAAACAAATGTATTTAAAAAGCTTACACAATCTGCCAATTCGTTTTATTATTTCCACAAGCTTTTTTCGTATTATTTCCATATACACTTGAGAAAAACGCGCGCCCCTTGCTCAAAATTCAAAAACAAACCAATTCCCGCAGTGTCCTATGAACTGTGTTATACAACCGACCCTTGACAATTTATTGTGCTCATATTGTAGGCTGTCGCTTGGAGCTGTTTTTCCTCTTCGCTTTATTGATGATGTATTGTTGCTACTCCAATTTTCTCTTTCTATTGGAAAACTTGAATTGAACCTAGTATAAACACCTTTGATTTCCCATTTCGATTAAACAATTTACCTCTCTTTTGCTGCTCAGGGCGCTGATAAGAAGAAGAAGGCCTCCAAGGCCACCGAATTGCCGCTGGAGTGCACTACTCACGGCTTCAGCCCCGTCGACCTGGGCAACTACACACAGCAGGAGTCCAAAATGATTGGCAACGATCAAAAGGAAACTGAACGCATCGATGCCAAAAATGCCTTGGAGGAGTTTGTCTACGATATGCGTAATAAACTGCAGGTAATTAAAAGATAGTACATCTCTGTTAAACTCTTCCTAAACATCCTACCATCTGTTTGTAGGGTGGACCTTTGGAGCGATTCATCGTGGAGGCGGAGCGCGAGGCTATTGTGGCCCAGTTGAATGATCTCGAGAACTGGCTGTACGAGGATGGAGAGGACTGCGAGCGCGAAACTTACACCAACCGCCTTCAGGCCCTGCACCAGAAGACCGATCCCATCAAGCTGCGTGCCAGCGACTACGAGCAGGGCCCGGCTGCCTTTGACGAGCTGAAGAACACCATTGCCATTGCCCGCCTGGCGGTGGCCGAGTTCCGCAAGGGTGTGCCCAAGTATGATCACCTAACGGAGACCGAGTTCATTAACATCTCGGAGACGGCGGACAAGGCGCAAAAGTGGCTGGATGCCAATCTGTCCAAGTTCACACAGTCGCCACGAACTGCCGACAGTCCCGTCCAGGTTTCCGCTATACGCCAGGAGGTGCACACCCTTAATGCGTGCGTCAGCTCAGTGATCAACCGGGCGAAACCAAAGCCAACTCCGGCCAAGACGGCGACACCGCCCAAGGATGAGGCTAATGCGGAACAGAACGGAGGCGAGCCAACTGCCAATGCCGGCGACAAAATGGACGTGGATAACAATGCCCAGAGCGCGGCAGGAAATGATCCCTCCATGGATGTGGAGTGAGAGCCGCCAGCTCCTTTCGCTATCCGGTTGTCCCCGGCTATCAACGGTATTGGCTAACGATTAATGATAATAATAATGATAACTTAAACGGTAAACATATATGAAACAATCTTTGTATATGCACTTGCTTCAGGACTAGCAGAGAAAAATCCAACAAAATCAACACAACAAACAAAATGCAACCAACCAATATACAAGTGTAAGAATATGATAAAATGTAACTGCAGCCGCTGATGGATCCGGAAACGGATGAATGGATGCGGGCTAAAAAATAGTAGAAAAAGAAATGGTTAGGAAGGAAAAAGGAACCCTACACACCTGCTGCTGCCCTGTGGATGATGCAAAACGGAACAGAAACAACCCTAAAACAATTTCTAATCGACCATTTTTCATATATTTGAATAACAAAATCAACAATGCGACACTAAATGAATGGAATTCAAATAATCAAATAAAAACAATGATGATTCCAACTAAGCATTTATTGTATTTTTTTGTGTTTTCATTTTTGGGATGGTAAGGGTGTAAACATTTGACAAACTTCTGGAAGATTCCAGAACCTTCTTTGGGGAATGAGATGACACTAAAAATATTAAGAAAACAAAAATATATTTCTGTGACAATTTCATTTTATTACCTACCAGAAGTGTAATCTGATTAACTTTGCGATTATTTTATTGGCGCTTACAATACAATACAAACTCGTTTACAAAGAGGAATGCGAATGCGATTTGGTGTGGGTAGTTGCTGGGCGTGATTAAAATGTCATGTTACGAAATATAGGGCAGGAGCTATGCATTTAAAACGGCCGTGACTAGTGCGAAGGTGGTGTTGTGCGCTTAATGAGATTCGTGCTCCTCGATCCTGTCCAATTTAATTATTAATGCGTTGATTATACAGGCTCCAGCCTCTTTGGTGAACCAGCAGAGATCGTTCAGCAGATGCACAGACGACTCGTTAAGATTGGTAGAGGGCGTCCCACCCACACCCTCGGCACCTTGACCCAATCCACCGTGATCGTGATCACCAGATCCCATGCTGCGCCTCTTGGCCTCGGCTGCCGCCTTGCCGGTGGTCACTCCGGAGATGGACTGCCGTCGGACGTAGACTTCGAAGGAGGTGGAGATGCGGTGCAGACCCTGCTCGGAGGCAAAGTGGTGCTGGGGCAGCACGGGCTCGATAACTGTGGCATTGGGCGAGTAGTAAAGCTCAAGCCGGGTGCCAGGCTCATCTTTGAGCGCAGCAGCGGCCGGCTCTTCGTCTGGATCCGATTCCAGCGGCAGAGGCTGCCCACGATCCAGTATGGCCCTAATCTTGTCCACCCGCGTCATGTAGTAAAAGGGCAGCCAGTCGCCGTTGAGATCAAAGTGCACTTGGGGCGCATTCGACGAGGATGTCGATGCAGTTGTCGTCGAAGTGCTCAGCACATTCACCGTCTGCTGGTTTAGCTTGAAATAAACCCATCCCTCCAGCTTATCGCCATTTCCGCCGTTGCTCGGACCACTGCACTTCAGGCAGAAGCACACTGGCTCCAGTCGGCTATCAAAAAAGGCCTGCGGCAGGACGAGCGAGGCACAGAAGCGTCTCACCTGCCGCAGGTATTCGCAGTCGTTCTGCTCCACACTGACGCCCGTGGCTGTGGATCGCAAAGAATCGGTCCCACCACCTGGCCTCGGTCCGAGAGAATTCGAGTCGGACTCCATTGAATTAAGAGAGGGCAAGTCGAGATTCAATAGAGACGCTTGATCGGGCATAAGATGGTGTCGCGTATATTCGTTCTGCTGTAGTTGCTGCAGCAGCAAAAGGTGGTTCATGTAGTCTATCTCATCGTCCTCCAAAACATTGTCGTTGGCGATTTGATCTCCGGATATTTCGCGTTCGTTGCTAGCAATAAGTTCCAACGCCTCCGCATTGTTCTCGCTGTGATCCATCGTTGTGGCTACCGTTGCTATGGGCCCAGGCCCTTCGTCCATGGAACTAGCCAACGGGTTGGGAGGATTCGGCAGGTCATCGTACTCCTTGTTCGTGTCATAGACGCCCGAGTTACTCAGGTGTTGAATATTGGCTGTGGAGCCACTGGGTCCACTACTTCCCGCTGCAGTGGCTGAAGTGTTTAACGAGTTCTGGAATCTCTGGGTGCTCTGACTGCGTTGGATATTCAGATTGGTGTTGTGCTGCAGCTGGAGAGACTCGCGAAGGCAACTGAAAGAACACAGCAAGAGAAAGTAATTTAAAATCTTAATTGCAATATAATTTATCTGGCCGTGATTGACTAGAGTAGCTTACCAAGTTGACGAGGATCCACCCAGTTCGTTTCGCTGTTGCTCCAGAGTTCGATTCTTGATTGAAATGTTTAGCAGCAAGTTCTCCGAAACGCTTTCCATTACCGACCGAGTCCTGAAAAAAGTCTCTATAAAATACCAACATATTTTTTTGTATTACTTACATGGCATTTGATGGAGCTCCGGAGGTGGACGGACCATCCCTGGTAGACTCACACACCTGCTCCGTGTCCTTCTCCTTCTCATGCATCTCCAGGTGCGCCTTCTCGCACTGCTGGGGCATTCCGTTGTCCAACTCTAGGGCCTCAGGCGCTTCCAGGATTGGAGTGCCATTGGCATTCCCGGTGCGACCGGCATCATTGCCCGTAATCAGGGTTATCTTTTCGCACTTGCCGTACACATCGAACACCGGATACACATGGTTGGGCAGACCGCTGGCCAGATCCTCGAGATTTGTTGAACCAACCATTATGACTAAATAATAATTACATTTATAGAGTTTGTCTTAAAATGTAGGACTTTTTTGTGAACTCACTCAACATTCCAGCATGGGTTAGTGTTAGGGTGATCACCGTTCCCACTTGGATCTGCTCCAGGGCTTCACCGTATTTGGAGGCCATCACTTGGCCGTTGATGTTCACGTAATCTTGGGTCGCCAACCAGCAGCTTCTTTTGAAGTCCAATAGGGAAATGGGCGCTGTCTGTGGACTTGCGGACAGAACGCCCAGACTGAGAGTGCCCTTCCACTTGTTGTTGAGGGCATCTACCTTGATGCTTATGCTCTCACCCTTGCACAGTGGTTTATTCAGACAGACAATGGCCTGGTTGTACGACTTGATCCTGGTCACACTCCTACGATCTTCGCTGAGCCGTGCGTTCTTTTGTGATACATCCAAAAATTCGTAGTTCTGTGCCTCAGAATCAATTGACTCCAGCATAGAGCTGTCCTGCTTGTTTAGTGGGTCCACTCCAAAGTCCATGGAGTCCTGCAGCCGCAAACTGCACGGGCGAAGGGGAGAGGCTGGTCCCTGGGCGGAAATCACCTGAATACCCATTGTCGAACCTCTAAGTTCCGCCACCACATACACATCGTTGGGCACGTTGTGAAACTGGATGTTTACGTTTTCAGAGTTCAACAGAATGTTTAACGAGTTCTCTACCCGCTCCAGCGTTATCCGATCGTCCACCCTGAGCCACTCCAGAGAGGCCAGCGAGCGCTGGAGACAGCTTGAGTTGAGGCACACCTCGTTCCCGCTCACATACCAAACGTTTGCCGGTATCCGCCGCAGGCTGGTAGGCAGCTTCTTGCGCACACTTTCGTCGCTGAGATTCAGATCCGTGACCCCAATACTGAGGCATCCTAAGAAAGATTTATATATTTAATACATATATATCTTGGAATACTGATTATAAGTCATCCCCCTGCTACTTACCCGCAAACATGGGATTAATCGAGGTCAGCTTAATCTCAAAGGGTGATCCCACGCTGAGTGGATGCTCTGAAAACACCAGGCAATGGGAGAGCGGTGCCGCCGCTCCCGTAAAGCGCGAGGCCTCCGTCCAGTCCTTCGTAAGACTTACATTCCCCGAAACGCAAGTCCAGCGGTGTTTCGTCTCCATGGCCGGATGCTGGATTACCGATGTGGCTTGGCAGCTCTGCGAATTCTCGCTGGTTGCGTACGGAGCCCGTATGTCCAGCTGGGTCTGCGTAAGACTCACCTGGGCGCACTGCCCGTACAGATCGATGATAGCCCAAATATTAGGTGCATGGCATTCGCAGGCTGGTCCCTGATCCATGCCATCAACAAAGAAGTGTATAAAGTCACCATTGCGCATCACACCCACTCGAGTGCTAGGACCTAAGGTATCCAAGTCTAGTAGAATATTCGTGCGTATGGTTTTGCGGTTGTGAAAAATCATGGGGCCGCACAGGATGATGGTGTCGCTGGCCTCCAGGTCGGTGGCGTTTGGAGCCAGCTGAATGTCCTCGGGACGTGTGCCCGTCACCCCGATCTCGATGTTGCCCGACCAGTGTCGAACCATTGTCTCCAGCTCAACTTCAAACAGTTCCCGCTGCCTCAACGGTCGATTACTGAACACAATGGCGTCATTAAACTCGGCCAGGGAATTGGGACGCGATGCAGTCAAGCCACTATTCGAAATGCCCGCATTGGCGCCGTGGATGCTGTGAAATCGCAGAGGAACCTCACTGTACAGTGTCGTATTCGAGATGGTGGAGTTTCCGGTGTCCGGGCTACCGCACTCCGAAGTGTCCACGATGCTAGCCTGTGCTGCTTGTCCGTACAAATCGATTACTCCATAAACGCGCTCCGGGACATTGCTGGCAGCTGGACCCTGATCTACTCCATTCACCCAAAAGTGCACTGTGCCGTCATCCTTGCGCACCACACCCACCCGATCGCCCACCTGCAGGCGATCCAGATTTTGCCCATACTGTTCGATTACTGTCACGCCGTTCTGCATGACCCCGTTCCCTGTCATCATCCATGTGCCGGAACTGGTGGGGATACATCACATTTAGAAATAGTTTAAGTGGGTAGGGAACCAGAACTCACCGCACATTAGTCATGGTGAAGGGAAAGTCAAGCTCGTCGGCGCTGTGAGTGGTCACGCCCATTTCAACAGAGCCCGCCCATTTGGTCACCACGCGTTCAAGTCGCACCTGGAAAAGTTCGTTTGGACGAAGGGGTCGTCTTGTCAGCACCACACCATTGTTGAAATCATCGGCAGCGCTGCAGAGGTTGGGAAAAATGTTTAAATATATTTTGCAAAATAGCTTAGACATCAAAGAAAAGATCATGGAAGCCTTATACATTTGTTCCCTTTTTTTGTCTATTAAGAGGTTCATAACTCACTTGGGTCGTAGAGCTGTGCGTCCACTCTGGGTGACAGTGGCGTGGGTGCCACAGATGTGGTGGAAGGTTAGACGATCATCGTTCCTGGCTATGGCGCGCGTACTTGAAATGGTTTCACTTAGACCGCCAGCAGCTCCGGCCACATTCATCTCGCTTTCCGGACTAAGGAGGCTTAGGGTGGGAGTTCCAGAATGCTGCTGGTGCTGATTGTGCTGGGCACCAGCTCCGCTTGAGCAGGCGGTCATGCCGGCCACTATGTTGTTTCGACGCGTAACAAGATTCTGCTGCTCACGCTCATCGCGGTCAACTATTGTGACCTTGATGGTCATACCGTAGAGATCGATGACTCCCCACAAAGTAGAGGCCACTCGGGTGGCGGCCACGCCCTGGTCCTGCCCGTTAATGTAGTTGTGCAGGTTGCCATTGGACTTGCGCATCATGCCAACGCGATCGCCCTCGCGCAGTTCGTCCAGATTAAACTCGCCGTACTGGCGGCGTGTGCCCTTGCCGTTGGTCAGAATGCCACAGCCCGACATCATGATGGTGCCCGAGCGCATGTTTGTCATGGTTGCAGGAAAGTGCAGTACTGTGGGATTGTGCGTCGTGACGCCCACTTCGATGGATCCCGACCATTTGTCCACCAGCTTGTCGATGCGAATCTCGAACAGTTCGTTGTCCCTCAACGGCCTGTGGGTCATCACCACGCCGTTGTTGAACTCGTCCAGAGGTCGGCGTCGCTCGGCGGATCGGAAGTTGGGAGAGAGCTTGACCAGCGATCCACAGCGGGTGTGGAAGCATAGTCGGTCGTCTGCACCGGAGCTGACCCCAGTGCCTTGCATCCAGGCGTCGGAATCGACGACGATGTTCACGTTCATAGCCACGTCAAGATTCTGGACAACCTGTTGCAGCGGCTGCTGGAGTGGTGAATCCAAAAGCTGTTTTTAAAGGAACAATCAGTACTGTCAGTATGCACTAGGTATTTTGAATGCTGTTGCTTGGATTGATAGTTACCTCTCCGGAGCCGGTGCCATCGCGGGGACACAATGAAACCTGCACACAACGCCCGTAGAGATCGACTAGGGCCCACAGTGGCTTGGGCATATTTTTGGCCGCCACTCCCTGGGACTCCCCATTGACATAGAAGACCAGATCGTTGCCGGAGGTGCGCATGACGCCCACCCGATCGTTCTCGTTGAGGGTCTCCAGATCAGTGCCGTAGAACTCAAACAGGCGACGTCCGTCCTTACGCACATCGATGCCCGACATGACCCAGGTGCCGTTTCGCATGGCAGTGGCGCAGGCCACCAGTTCCAGGTCATCCGGCGACTCGGCAGTGACTCCTATCTCTATGCTTCCGCCCCAGGAGGTGTTCTGCGGATTGGGTGTTATTAAATGCTCGACGTAGAGGCCAATTGTTATTTACCTTCTTCTCGATGACGACTTCGAAGAGCACATCGTCCTCCAGGGGCTCTGCACTGAACACCAGGGCATGGCTGAAATCCCGCATGGAGCGCTGGGCCATCCGGTTGTTGTTGTACAGCCGGATGGAGCGGCCACAGCGCGTGTGGAAGGACTGGGCCTCTCTGCCGGTCATGGTTGCTCCTCCAGTTCTGCTCTATGGGCTCTTTTCGGCTCCGCCGCTGCTTGTTGCCGTACAAATCAATGGACGGTCGGAATGGGCACACGGGCGGAATGCGGCTCATCGGCTGTGGGCGATGCACTGGCTCGGCTCTGGGGATGGGCAGACAACCTCTGACGGCGTGGTATGAAGTTTCTGATATCTGATCTATGCATTATGCATTGTCTACGAAATTCCAACAGTAAAATAAACAAATAAATAAATTTATTTTTTTCGTATGACCGTTTTGCGATGTTTGTGAAAAACTTATAGCTCATCACCACATATCGATAGTTTCAGCCTAGAATTCCTTATTATTAATTACACTTAAAAAAATAATGACGGGGGAACCTATTTTGTTTATAATTATTACGTATTTCTTATTATTTGTTAATTGATCATGGTAGATCGCGTAAAAAGCCCTCGGTTTCCAGTAATGCATGTATCAAATCAGTTTTTATTGTCATTAGTAACTTCGATATTTCTAAAAAATATAACATTTTTTGCTTTAAAGTAATGTTTACAAATGAAATTTACTCTTTTTTCTAACAACTATTAAGTTTTTCAGCACAGCTTTGCCTCGCTATTAAATTACTTAATTAAATTGGCACTAAAATACTGTTTTCCGTGCTCATTTAAAATTCCGTTTAATTCTAAATATGTATCGTTTATACTACGTTATGATTACGTTATTTTCATGGCAGCACTTAGTACCATTCACTAGGAGGAGTGAGGAGTAAGAACCTGCGACGTCTTGTTAAGGTCTTCCAATTAATAAATATATTAAAAGACCGTGACTATTTCCCCAGTCACTGTTCTGCTGAGCACGCCCATTTTATGCAATTAAAATACCAGAATCCCGCTGGCAGTAATATTCGGGCCATGCCAAACGGTCACACTGGCAGGTGTATTCGAACAAAATAACACATTTCGGGACTGAGATTGTCAAAAGCAGGATATTTAGCTGGAATATATAGATGACCCGGCACCATGTCCACTACGCAACGCCAGAAACAATTCGACAGGAACCGCAGCCGTGCGACTAACACAGCCAGCGGCAGCAGTAGTTCCAGTAACAACAGCAACGCCGCTGTCAGCTCGAAAAATGTGGTTTCCCCGAATCAGCGCAAGCTTCAAACTTCCATGGAACGCCTGCAGGTGCAACAGGCCAACACAAGTCGCCGGGCGGCCGGCTCCAACTGGATGGCCGCCGCTGGAGGAGCAGCTGCCGGAAGCGAGAACCAGGAGGCGAGTGTGGAGTCGCCGCCACTGACGAAATCGGCACGCATGCGCATCAAAAAGAAGGCTCAGCGCAATCGCTACTTGGCCATGGACTGCGAGATGGTGGGTGTGGGACACAATGGGCAGGACGACATGCTGGCCCGCGTGTCGATCGTGAATCGCGTGGGCCAGGTGCTGCTGGACAAGCATGTGAAGCCGCGCATGGAGGTCACCGACTACCGCACCAGCGTCTCGGGCATTCGTCCGCAGGACATCGCCAACGGTGAGGAGTTCGACGCCGTGCAGAACGAGGTGGTCAAACTGCTGCACGGCCGCATCCTGGTCGGACACGCCCTGGGCAATGATCTCACCGTCCTGAGCATCCGCCATCCGTTTGACGACATCCGCGATACGTCGCGCTACAAGCCTCTCTGCAAACTCGTCTCAAATGGCCACACGCCCAGCCTTAAACGCCTGACCATGGCCGTCCTGGGCCAGGAGATCCAGACAGGCGAGCACAACTCTGTGGAGGATGCACGTGCCGCCATGGGAATTTACAATCGCATCGCCGCCGACTGGGAGAAGTACCTGGAGAAGAAGCGGCACCAGCAGCAGCACTTCTAGCTGCCCAATCGGGGAGCCCCACTGCACTCAGGGGAAGGAATGCGGTAGCCTTAAGTTATTTGTATACACGAGTTTCATATACTGGAAACTGTTGTTTAATTCTATAAAACGTTACAACCTAAGCGGTCGTTGTTTTTTGGAGCATTGGTTGTTTTTTGAATTCGGGGATTAATTAAGATTTGGGAATTTATATGATTGGCGTAACTGATTCCAATTTGAAACCAGCAGATTTTCTGGTATTTACATATCTTTTATATCAAGTAATTTCTTAAGTAGTTATAAAAGGTGAATGTAAATATAAAACTACTTATCCTATAAGGATGTACCAATGTGCTAGCCCTGAGTCTAGTATGATACAGTTTTGTCTTTGAACTATAATCAACCTAAGAAGCCTCCACCTCTTTGGGTGAAGTTTGGATGGTGCTCGATCCGTGGATAGCCTCGTGGCGCTCCATTAGCTCTCGCCAAGGATCCTCCAACATGGAGGGGTGAAAGTACTGTCCAGAGGAGCCACCGCTCTGGTTGTGCTCCCTGTTCTGGTGGTGGTTCCTCTGATTCTGGTCCCAGTTCGGTTGGTTCCGGCGATTGAAGTTGCCGCCTCGTCCGAAGTTCCTGCCCTGTCCGTAGGGCCGATGCCTCTGCGCCTCCTGCGGTGACTTGTTCTGGTAGAAGTGCGGGGTATTCGGCTGGCCCTGTTTGTCCTCGTAAAAGCCAAAGTTGGGATTTTGGGGCTTCTGCTGGCCACCAAATTGCTGGGATCTGTAGTCGGCGGACTGCGATGGATAGTGGCCACCGCGCGGGGAGAAGGGCGGTGGGTGGTTGAAGTTCTTGCGAGGGGTGCTCATTCTGGAGTATTTCACGGACTTATTAAGTTGCTCTTTGCATTTTTGTCAAAAAAAAGGTAAACAAAATTAATAAACGTTTTCAGTATGACCGTTTTGCAGTAGCCAAGAAATACAGCAAATATGTGGTGGTAAACTTGGCTAAACGTTATTTTCGTCATAATTTAGGACGTTTCATGACAGACCTTTTGACTTCCTTTGACAGACCCACCACGGTCACTTTAATATTCCGGAATATTTCGTAGCAGCGCGGTCGTCGTGCGGTCGGTCGGTTAAAATAAAGTGCATTTAACTGCAGTTGCTTTCGGTTCCCACACTCCACGCTTCCAGTCCGAGTCTAATGTGCCAGCCAGGCGATATGTAAGCAAATTTGCACGCCCCTCGATCGGAAAAACCTGCGAACAGAGCACAAAAGAGGCGTCGCCTGCCGCAGGAGCCTTTCATCGAAATCTCTGGCCTTTGTCTGTATTTGTTCGCCTGCATTCGTGTGTGTGTCTCTCTGTGTGTGAGTGTAGTGCTTGTTTGTGTGTGTGCCGCCGTTGCACCACCAAAAACAACAACAACAACAAGAGGAAGAAATTGTGTTTTTGCTTACATTGTCAGAAAGAAGTAAATTAAATTATCAAAATTTGAACACAGCAGTTTTTACTCTTTCCAAAACGTAGAAAAAATTAAGAAAAAAAAACCAAAAAAAAAAAATCATAGGCAGACAAAAGTAATTTTCGATTGGCCCAGTTGTTGTGAGAGCAGCGCGTTTGGGAGCAGCGCGTTTGGGAGCAGCGAAACAGGCAGCAGCCGCTTTGGATATCTTCAACGGAATCAAAGAGCAACTTTCAAGTTGCCCGGAACGCACCCGTGCCCTTTGCCGGACTGTATGGGGTACCCTCTCGCTGTCCCTTAGCACAGCGCTCCAAGCGGCGACCATCGAGGACGCCATCGGCGGCGGCGGCGGCGGCTCCGGATCCAGGGGATTACAGGATCCAGGGGGAGGAGGCGGCGGCGGAGGAGGAGGAGGTGGAGGCTCCGTCTCCGGCTCGAGCTCGGGTCGCTTTGCCACCATAATGGGCGCCGTTAAGTCGCGCACCATCACCAGCGCCGATGTGGACGCCGATGAGCAGCTGCAGCATCCCCATCCGCATTCGCAATCACATCACCATCACTCGATGCGCAATGGCCACCAGCACAATGGTTCCATCTCCAGCGGCACGCTGCAGAAACAGGATCTGCGCTATGACATCGGCTGCAGTTCCCAGTACCAACACGTCCGGCAGCCCAGCTTGCGGAGCCGGAGTCAGCAGCCCATGCCGACCACGGACGAGCTGGATCGGCGATTCGCCAAAGTTCTGGTAAGATGACCCTCAATCCCTTGCTTTTTATGTTTTTACGTTTAAGATGACAACATATAGCAATTGAACAAAGGATATGACTTTTTTATATTTTTTAACCAATTTTAAAATTTTTTTAAAAAGAGTGTATTTGTTTTATACATTTTTGTAATAAGTAGAAATTTGTCTATGTTTTTTTGTTTAAATAATTGATTTTAAGATTTACAAGAAAAATGCATTTTTAAATTATTATAAAAATCTATCATCAGTTATCTTGTACTTCATATGGGTTTCTTTAAAAATCCAAAAAAATAAAATTTCCAATCTCAAAAATGTTTGAAAAACAAATTTAAAAAAAAAAAGTTTTGAAAATTCCAAGGAAACATGTTTTACCAATCTCGAAATTACAACAACATATTAAACTATGACTATGAAAACTGCATTCAATATTTGTAGTAGACCAAATAGTAAGTTAATAAAATTGAAAAAAACATTGCCTATATTTTGGAGGAATGTGCGAAAAGTAATATAAAATTCTTCTTTTGACCGTAATCCTTGTCAGATGGATCATAGATTTTCAGCGAAGTTGTATCCCCAACTTTTTAATAAATACCAATTATAAGGGCTAGTATTATTGATTTATTAAAATAAAATCAAATTGAGCTTTGCAAATATTTTTTTTTTAACTTAGAGCTATCCAGTTGATTTGCTTCCAAGTTTTTTCTCTCTCATCTAACTTTGAATGTTTAGAAACAAATACACCCTTTTTGTTTAAAGCCGTGAAATATTTCAATTTCGCTGGAAGAAATGTTTGTTTATATAAAAGCTTTTTGGGAAATTGAGTTTATTAAGCGAATATATGCAGTGGCTGGTATATAGAGACTTAAGGATTGGCTTCCTGCCCCTGCCCCTGTCCCCCTTTCTTCCGCCCTCGCATTTGTTGCATGTGATTGATGACCTCATCGAGTGTGCGGCGACTTGTTCGCTTGAATTTTTGTCAGCCACTCACACATGTGCGAACGCGAGTGTTTGCTGGTGTTCGTGAGTATCTCTGGGTTTGTATCTGCGCCTCTCCCCAGTTTTACTCGATTCTGTTCCGTTCTGTTCTCTGCTCCGGCTTGCACAACTCCCCAAGCACAGTGGAATTGTAGGTTTCCAAGATCTCAAAGGCCAAAAGGAGTTGGAGTTACAAAAGCCTCACCTAGTTTTCTTTTCTATATTTCGTTCATCATATCATA